CTAGCTACATATAGCTAATAAGTAGTAATGGCAGCATTAATATATGTAGGAAACATATATCAGACTTCTATACTATAGCACTGTCTATGGTAGCAGTAATTTGGAAAAAACATCCATATCCATAAACAGAAAATAATCAGTTGAGCATTATATAACTAGTGCTGCCCACATGAGCTGGGGCAGACCTCTAAATCACAAGGTTAACAAGAACAAGTCAATTTGTAGGCATATGTAATATGTAGACACTGACAGCACACATGACCATATTTGGATCTGACAAATCTGTGTGGTGATTATACAGGTGTCAACATTATTCCTCCCTTACTTTTATGCATATTTTAAGTATTTCACAATATAAACCTGCTGGAGACTTAGCTAAAGGAATCTATAAAGGGATAATGCCAAAGGCTCAAGCTATATCTTGAAAGATAGTTTCCTGCACTGCCTCTGACATCCACATAAAGCAACCAGATAGAATTATGATTAAACAACTTGTCATTTGGCCATTTATAATACATTTTTTTCAGTACTTGGGACTGAGCCTAGGGCCCCTTTACTTACCTACACCCATGTCCTTTCTTTCTTTTTTTTTTTAATCTTCCCCTTTTTTTGAGACAGGGTCAAACTTGTGATCCTCCTACTCCAGCCTCCTATTATGCTTCTCTAAGGGAATCTGCATTTCTACACGGGAAAGAAAGTTCACTGATCTAATTGTTTTTACTGCACAAGTTCTTGTCACTATCACTATGAATGCTTGCTTTACTCAGGAAAAATCAGTACAGAGTGCAAACCTGCAAAGGAAAAACCTGTCTCTGCTACATGAAGCCCTCAGGAGGAGAAGATGGCCTCTCTGCAAAAACCCTGCAATTACAGCAAGTTCAGAAAAAATTACAAGGGTTTTAGGCAAATGAAGAAAGGTAAATAAAGCCTTGGGATGATTCTTCTTTTTTTTTGTCTTTTTGAGACAGGGTCTCGCTATGCAGTTCAGGCTGGCCTTGAGCTCAGGCTGGTCTCGAACTTGTAAAGATCCTCCTGCCTCAGCCTTCTGAGTGCTGGGATTACAGATGTGTGCCATCATGCCTGGCCAGAGCCTTGGGATGATTTTTAGTGCTCAATTTTTGAGGACTGTTTCTGCTCATTTGAGGCTAGTATGAGTCAAGGAAATATGCAAAGGGGCTGGGGATTTAGCTCAGCGGCAAA